GTCTTTTGCGTGGCAGGCGTGGGACAAAATGTTCCCTGCGTGGCAGGCGTGGGGCAATGTGCACTGCCAAGGGGTCGGATGTACGCCCTGGCGTCCCTCGGGCTCCGCCTCTTTTGCGTGGCAGGCGTGGTGGCAGGCGTGGGACAATGTGCACTGCCAAGGGGTCGGATGTACGCCCTGGCGTCCCTCGGGCTCCGCCTCTTTTGCGTGGCAGGCGTGGGACAATGTGCACTGCCACGGGGTCGGATGTACGCCCTGGCGTCCCTCGGGCTCCGCGTCTTTTGCGTGGCAGGCGTGGGACAATGTGCACTGCCAAGGGGTCGGATGTACGCCCTGGCGTCCCTCGGGCTCCGCGTCTTTTGCGTGGCAGGTGTGGGACAATGTGCACTGCCAAGGGGTCGGATGTACGCCCTGGCGTCCCTCGGGCTCACTACCTCACCTACCTCACCTACCTTACCTCACCTACCTCACCTACATCACCTACATCACCTACATCACCTACCTCACCTACCTCACCTACCTCACCTACCTCACCTACCTCCCTCCCTCCCTCCCTCACTCACTCACTCACTCACTCACTCCCTCACTCACCCACCCACTCGCTCGCTTCGCTTCGCTTCGCTTCACTTCACTTCACTTCACTTCACTTCACTCACTTCACTCACTCTCACATCCCTCACTCACACACACACACCACACTCACATCACTCACTCACACTCTCACACACTCGCTGTACATGAACATACATACATACACACAAACTCACCCACCATGACCGCTCCATCACTCTTATACTTCCTCTTCCCTTCTTGCTTTGCTATGCTCAGTCTAAGTCTAAAGAAGTTGGTAACATGTGGGGTTATCCGGTCCTTTAATTTTTTTTTGAACAGTACCTCGAACCTGATCACAGACCACGTTTGCGATTTACAAATGAAATTTTAAAGCGACAAAGAACAACTTTCGGAAGTCAAGCAGACTAAAGCTACACTTTGACAGTGGGGCAACTTCTGGCACCCTTTGGAGCTGAACCCTGTCACTGCTGTGCGAACCAGGCAGAAGATGATGCTCAAAACTCTCCGGCTCCAGCGGAAACAGAACGAGGGGAGGAGGACAGCGTGGAAGCCAAAGAGTTGGTTTTGGAGTACCACAATTCGTGGCGGTTAGATACCATTTTTTTCCCCGCACCGTTGTTTCCATGAGATTGACAAATCACAATCTCTTGGGTTTTGGGTGAGTGCTTCAGCATTATGTTTGCTGCACTAACTGGTTCTTTCACAGGACAGCTTTTGGACAAACATATTGGCCCTCTTCGGGTGCGGGTGCTGCGGAGCCAGGCGACTCGACTGATATTCGGAGTTGACTTCGTCCTTTGAACTCATGGCAGTTGGCCCTTATCATCCCATATCCATGGGCTGTCGTTGTTGGTAGGGGCAGCCTTGTTTCCGAGGCAGAAGTGTGGTAAGTGAAGGCTGAGGCTTGGGAACGGGGACTCTTTCGGATGTTTTTCCATTGCGCATGGTATGGTGATGCGACATCTTGTGGGTTATGTTTTGATTCTCTTCGATTTTGTTGTGCAGCACATTCGTTTGCGGGATCTTACAAATCTTAGTCCAGTCCTCCGAAGAATCGGAATCCCATGAATTGACAAACACCTAATCAGTAATGATTCTGTTAAATCACCAAGGAATGATCCATATTTATGAATGATAGATTCCAGAATCATTCCGAGACGAATGATGACTGTATTATGTCCTTATTTGACTAACGGGGCTGATTTGATGGCCTGCATATCCAGGGTTCCGGACAAGGTTCCGGAGAAGGTCTGGGAGGCTTTGGTGCAGAGCCAGGTCAGGTTCAAAAGGGTTCCGGAGAAGGTTCCGAAGAAGGTTTCAGGAAGCCTTGGTGCAAAGCAGAGCCAGGTTCAACGGGGTCCGGAGAAGGTTGCAGAGCAGGTCCCGGAGAAGGTTTTGGGGATCTTTGGTGCAGGGCCAGGTCAGGACAGGGTTTCCAGCGCTTGGCTTCGCAGCACGCTTCAGAAAGATTTCTAAAAATAAAACGTTGCGGCTGTTGGGGATACCACCGAAGCTTTTTTTTAAATGTTTTTTTTTTTTATGATTGTGTTTTTCTACTTTTTTTTTTCTGCGAAACCACGTGAAACTAAATCATAAATTTCATCATAAAAAATCATAAATTCAACCATAAAAAATCATAAAAAGTCTTATCTGAAAATGTTCCATTTTTTTCCGACATAGTGAAATCAGAAAAAAAATCATTAAAAAACATAAATAAAAAACAATTTATATAATTCTCGTTTAAGCTTACTATTAAAGTCTCAATCTTAGAGCTTTTTGTTTTTGCGTCCTAGAAGGTCTGCTGTGCATCCGCCTGTGCGCCCGCTGGCTGTTTCGCTGCTGCAGTCCTGGAAACGGTGGAGGACCCGCGTTTTTCCCGAATGCGTAGCGAAGGGTTCTTGTTTTCTTTCTTGGTCTGGGGGTGATGGACTGTTTGCGGGTCGTTTTGCGGGTCTCCAATCGCGTCGTCGCCCTGTCTATGCGGAAAGTGAGAAAGGGTGATGGTTTGTGACGTGTGAAAGTGCATTTCGCATGGCAAGGTGTGATTAAATTTAAGTATATCCCTGCTAATGAGTAATATCCCAGTAGTAGAATAATAGTATTTGCTAAGCTATCCCCATGTCATGTCTTTACAGCTTCTCAGGCTTCAAAATTGTGGTTTCTGAACTTCAGGCACGAGAGCCGCTTGCCCGTATTCAGCCGCTGGGGTAGGGATGTTTAAAGTATATTTTCCCGCGCAGGCAGCGGAGCCCCGAACCGAGGCCATATATTTACCCCCCAAAAGCTGCACCCCAAAAACGCATCTCCGTAACGTCTCTTCTGGACCCGGCAGAAAAGCTTCGAATCACAGCCCAAACTGCTGCCAAACCACACTTGCCGGATAGGAAAACACCATGGCAGTGAAGGATGGAAAGGCATGCAAAATCCACCGAACCGGAGGCTTGAAAAGCTTTGAATCTGCAGCCAAAACAGCCAAAACACACATGCCGGATGGGAAAACACAATGGCAGTGAAGGACGGAAAGGCGTGCAAGACCCTTCTGGATCCGACAGAAAAGCTATGAATGACAGCCCAAACTGCATGGGGTCTTCAGCCCAGAATAGCTCCGGTCTGCACTGGTGCAGGCGCCTGGTCAGGTTCAACTAGGTTCCGGAGCTCCGAAGGTTCCGGAGAAGGTCTGGGAGGCTTTGGTGCAGCAAGGTTTCACCCAGCTTACCCCATCATCGCCGAGAGAGTAGCAGGTGCACCATGTGTGAAGTTGGGTAGGCCTGACATGGTGCCAAGATATCTGAATAGATCTTTTGCAGATTTGTCGCAGAAGTTGCAACCATGCCTTCATCTGGGAGGATTTAGACGATCGGCTTACCCGACTACGAAAAGAGGCGCAACCAGAGGCGCACCGTTTGAGTTCAAGTTGAGAAATGTATCTCGCAAATGGCAGTGCAAGAGTATAGCAACAAAGACTGTTGTTGTTGTTGTTGTTGCTGTTAGAGTAGTCGTAGTTGTAGTCGTAGTCGTATCGAATAGAGTCGTAGTCGTAGTCGTAGTCGTAGGCGTATAGGCGGAGGCGTATGCCGTATAGCCGTAGCCGTAGCCGTAGCCACAGCCGTAGTCATAGTAGCAGTAAGAGTAGCAGTAGCAGTAGCAGTAGCAGTAGCAGTAGCAGTAGCAGTAGCAGTAGGAGTAGCAGTAGTAGTAGTAGTAGTAGTAGTAGTGGTAGTGGTAGTGGTAGTGGTAGTGGTAGTGGTAGTGGTAGTAGTAGTAGTAGTCGTCGTCGTCGTCCTAGTAGTAGTAGTAGTAGTAGTAGTAGTAGTAGTAGTAGTTAGCAGTAGCAGTAGCAGTAGCAGTAGCAGGAGCAGGAGCAGTAGCAGTAGCAGTAGCAGTAGCAGTAGCAGTAGCAGTAGCAGTAGCAGTAGCAGTAGCAGTAGTAGTAGTAGTGGTAGTAGTAGTAGTAGCAGTAGCAGTAGCAGTCGCAGTTGCAGTAGCAGTAGGAGTAGGAGTAGGAGTAAGAGTAAGAGTACGAGTAGTAGTAGTATTAGTAGTAGTAGTAGTAGTAGTAGTAGTAGGAGTAGTAGTAGTAGTAGTAGCAGTAGCAGTAGCAGTAGGAGTAGGAGTAGGAGTAGGAGTAAGAGGAGGAGTAGGAGTAGGAGTAGGAGTAGGAGTAGGAGTAGGAGTAGTAGTAGTAGTAGTAGTAGTAGCAGCAGTAGGAGTAGGAGTAGGAGCAAGAGTACGAGTAGTAGTAGTAGTAGTAGTAGCAGTAGCAGTAGCAGTAGCAGCAGCAGCAGCAGCAGGAGCTCTTTTTCCATTGTGCGCTTCCCTTGCGCGCTCCCCTTGCGCAGCCGGGGTCGGCGGGCGTATGTATATATATATATATATGTATATATATATATATATGTATATATTGATATATAAATTGCTCACTAACAATCAGCAAATTTATCTAATTATATGTGTATAATCGCCTATGTGTTTCCCAGAGGCGAGCTGCTTGATGTTGCAGCTTCAGCTCTGCTCTGACTCCAGGACCCAGATCCAGAACAGGCAGAGCCAGAGGAGCCGAGAGGGAACAATCTCTGAACAGTATGGATGGCATTGGATGGACATAACATGGAGATAACATTTTTTCAAAATAATATCCTGTTGCGATGTGTCATGCGGAAACCCATATTAGGATGTAGTATTGTAGTATGATTTTGACAATATTGATATGCAGACAGGTCACAATGTTTAATTGGAGTATATTGCCTTTCACTTTTGAAACTGAAACCATGGGGTTTAGACTTTAGACTAGGAGTGATCGAACCTGTCCAACTCGCACAACCAGATTTATCAGCATCCCATTTTGTTTTGCATCCTTGCTTTGAAACAAAGGGCAGGGAATTCTGGCTCAGGCATTCATCATCATTCAGCATCATTCAGCATTCTGGCTCAGGCTCAGTTCGTACATCGTCTTCAGGAAAGCAATCACTTCTTGGCATTTCGCAATGGCAGGAATTGAAACAACGTGCTCCCGATGCCAGGGTAAGGGACATGGTGCTGCTGATTGTCACTTGCCCTTCTTCCGCAGCTGTGAATACTGCAAGACTGCAGGTCACACTGCTAGGGAGTGCCCGCTCTTGCGGCAATGTACTTACTGCAAATGTGAGGGTCACACCAATCGCAACTGTGCCAAGCTACTGGCGAAAAGAGCCAAGGCACGAGCGTCAGATGATTCAAAGAGTGAGACGTCTGAGGCCAGCAATGGTCAGTCTGGTGTGAGCACAGCTTCGACATGGGCATCATCACTTCCCAAGAAGCAGCATTGGAAGCGATGGACTGAACCACAGAAGCCTCGGATGCAAGCCTTGACTGAAGATGAAGAAAAACAGGCACGCAAGGTTGAGAAGAAATTGCGCGAGATTGCAGCTTTGGAAACTCGGCTTGCTGAAGGGGAAACTTTGGAGGATTTGCAGCAGAAGAAGGTTGACAAGAAGTCAGAGTTTGAGGAGTGTGAGGTCATGCGTAAGTTGCGCTCTGGCTATAGACGATGCGAGCTACCAGCCAAAGGCCTGATTGAAGCAAAGTAACGCCAGGTGTGTCCAGGCGTGTCAAATACGAGCCATGAAGTGTAGATGCATAGAAGTTTATAGTTGCTTTCACCCAAGCAGCACCCTTTGTGCAGTGTGCAGATGCAGTCTGGTGTTAGCTAGCTCATGGCTTGCCTTGATCACTTTACATTTAGAAGATCTTTCCAGTTTGCCAGTTGAGTCTGGACATGTGTACAGCAAACAAGAGTCGAACACGACTAGGAGAATAGAAATTCAGGGGAAACAATCTTTCGCTTTCCCTTCAGTAATGCTGCAATGCTTCTCAAATCTTCTCATTGCTTTCAGCAAGAGCCACACCCGGCAGGAAATCGCTGATGCAAAGTGCAAGGAGAGGGCGCTACCTTCGCCTCGGACCAGTCTGGAGACCCACAGAAAACAGTGGATTTGTCAGGTCCTGACAGTCTGTGTTGAATCTGTTGCCATTTGTTACCATTTTTTGCCATTTGTTGCCTGCAATCCAGTGATATCAAGTGATATTTGGAAAGACTGTAAAGAAATGAAGACGGTGACACTGTGCATGCACCTTCATCACATTTGTTCCAACCCCGGCCCTTTGACTGCCCTGGTGCGTTTGCCACCTTGTGTCTGAGGTATGTTGGACGATAGGCGAGGACGGTCACGGACGTTTTTTTTTTTACGAAGACATCATTCTGTGTCATATAGACATAATTGAACATACATAAGATAAAATATATAATAAATGCCCGAACAAAAAAATACAAAGAGCACAGACCAGTGCAGCAAATCCGCGGCAAAGGCCGATAATGCAAAAGTTACTTGGTACAAAATCTCAGGCAGGACTACATTTCCCCAGGAATTGAATGAATAGTTCCTTACTTATCTTCAATGATCTTCAATGTAAAGGCCGTTTTAAGTTGTTCAGTGGCCTTCGAATGTCCGAAGTGTAAGTCACGTTTTTCATTGCGAGTTGAGGTTGTGCTCTGCTTTGTGTCACGTGCACCGGTCTTTTGCATATCAGCATATCGAAATGGCCACTCTGTGTGCAGGGCACTTGGCGAGGGCCTGGTTGCCAAGATTGTGCCGGCAACGAATTCGATGGCTTCGGCTTTGGTTGTGATTGTCATTATTCTTACTGCTCACGAGTTTCATCCTTTTCATCCATACAAGATTTCTCAACCCCAGAGCTTTTGGGCTTCACAGGGCTTTGCTTTTTCCTCAACTAAGATGTAAACGTGCTGGGGTAATGTCAATAAACTCTGATGTAACAATAGTCCATGCAAAACATGCAGAATGTAGCCTAATTTTGGGTAAAGCAATCCATGGCAATCCTTACCCCTTAGCATCCCTCATGCACAGTGGATGCAAGACGCAGATCGCACAGCTCATGTCAAGGTTTAGAATTGGCCTCAGAGGCCAAACTGGTGAGCATCCCTCAGACGGAGGTTGGGTTGGACGATCTTTCACCCGATGTTAGATCACATGGGACAGGTAGGACAGGGCCTGCTTTTGTAGGAGATGAATTCGTCTTTGAAAATGATTGAAAACATGGAAAGATGATATGATTACATCATATTACACTTGTGACGCGACATGTCACGACTCTCTTTGACCCAGTTCTTTGCATTGATCGTTCCTTCATTCCTGTCCTTTGGATTCTTTGAACGTGAATTATTTTATTCAATTGTTTCAGTTTTTCTTTCCACCGTCTTGGAGCCAGCCCATCCTCGAGGTCGTCCTACCAGCTCCAGGTGAAGCTAGGAGGCTGACTGTTTGAAACCAACAAGGGGAAGACTGACATGTTTTGGACATGTTTCGCGACATGTTTTGCAGGTTGTCGTTTTAGTGTATCACTCTGGAACAGGATGAACAGGCACGGATTTGCTTGGGTAGATTTCAAATAAAATCAGGAGTATCTGTTGCTTTGGCCCCTGTGCAGATACACATAACGCAACCAGTTTAGTAGCTCTAGGCCTGCTTGGACCTTGTGAAGTCACGGCTTCCACTTTACCAAAGGAAACTTCCACTGTCTGCCAAAGCCAGGCCGCAGGATGTGCACGAAAGCATTGGAGGCCTTGCAGATCGCTGGAAGATGAATGATCGAAATTGATAACGTATATTCCAACGTATGAATCTGGCATGTTTTGTATGATCATGTTGGACATGTCGGATTGGTGGTACGTTTTGATTCGTCAGTGAATGCAAAATTCGTCAGTGAATGTAAAATATGCAAAGGTGCACCGGCGGATCGTGTCGTGATAGTATATACATAAATGTGTAAGTACATATAATAGTAATAATTAATAATGATAATAATAACAATTAATAACCAATAATCATATATACACATGGATGTATATATGTGTGTGTATATATATATACATACACATATCATTGTCACTGATCACTGATAAGTACTGAAGGTTTTTCTTTTCAGTTCAATACCACTGTGCCATTCAGCACCCAATCCCAAGCAGTCGCGAGGTCTAGGCCCCTTTGAAGGGACACATTCACGAAATGAAAGCTCGGAGCACAGGGGCCGGTGCCACTTCAAACCGTGGAACTAAGCACTCCCACCAGGGCGGTGTTTTCATTCCACATCATAATTATCATAGTTTAGGGATGATTAGGTTTGGAGTTGAGTAAGTGCGTGGTTGAAGAAAGTTTGACACTTTGGGATAGTTTTCTTTTTTTGGATACTTATTCGTTTTGGAACTGTTTGGAATCCGTTGAACACGCTTTGAACAAGGTTTGAACACGTTGAATCCGTTGACCCAGCGCTGCACATTGCTCAACAGCAGACCCCGCGCCAAGCCCGGCGTCTCGGTGTGTTCGCACTGAGGCTGGGAACTCAGAGATCGAAATTGAGACAATGAAACACAACTCGCATCATTTCACATCATGTCACATGGGGCCCCATGTTCAATCATGTTCAATCATGTTCATGGATGCCAACGATGAAAGATGTAGTTGATATTTGAAACATGACACATGAAGGACCTTTGGCAAATTGGTACAGCATGACTTTCTTAAAGCTCTGTCCGTTGCACGCTGAGGGTCGGGCCATGACACGCAAATCTGGACGAGAGGCCGAGGATCTCGGATCCAGTCATTTTGCGAATCTATTGCGAATCTTGAAGCGTTGCGGATGTGTTCAGAGCGTCCAACACATGCAAGATGCGCTGCTGCGCTGCGCTTTGTTTTCACATGAGTCTTTCTGAACACCAAAGTTGGACACCTTATGACATCCGAATGCTTTTACATAGGTGAATCATCATAACCGGACAGTGCAAAACTGCTTGCAGGGCCACCATGCCCTTGTGAGTGAGGTGGCCGATTTTGCTTTGTCATTTTCGTTGTTTATAAGGTTCATACATAACAGTCATATTTCATTGGGCCAAAGTCATGCGACTTCAGAATCTCCTCAGAACCTCCAGAATTGTGTCAAAGAGATGGGCACAACGGGCACAATGATCAGGAATATCAGGATGTGTTCTGAAGTGCTTCCCACTTCTTCCACTTTTCCAGCTCCCGTAATCTGGTGGCTCCCAAAGTGAATCTACGACTAAGATCGACTAGTCCCAGAGTAAGTCTAGGGTGATCAGTATTGATCCAAGATTCTCGGAGCGATTTTGTCATGTCCATGGAGTCCATGGAGTCCATGTACATTAGTCCATGGTAGGGAGATCATATGGAGATCATGAGAGATCGCGAAACGCCTGAGGAGCGCCGTGCCTCGCGACGGCATGCACTTCATGCAGCAGAGCTGTCAGCAGGTGCAAGTGAAGCTATGAATTCGAGTCTTGCGACCCCGGTAACATATATTGTATAGATTTTGTATAGATGTGCACAGATGAGTTATCATTAATTGTAGTAATATCACATAGATTCACATAGTATTTTTGGACCGTGAAGAACTTTAGATGTTTCATGATGTTTCCATGTGCACATTCCTGTGTGCTCGAAGCTTTGAAGATTAGAAGATATGTTCTGAGCTGTGCCTGAGAGCATTTGGTTCTGGCTCAGCTAAGGTGCTCCACTCAAGTTGAGGATCGAACGTCGGCTTGCAGCCATGCAGGACGGAGCAGCAGCTGCAGGGCACTGAAGGGTTTGCATTTCTGTCTCCAAAGCATTCATTTTCACTCCCTTTTTCATAGCATGATTGGCATGTTCATTGCGTAGTGGCACGGTGCGTTGTTGGAAAATGTCCTGAGCCCTGACCCCGAGTATTTGAGCTCTTTGTTCTATGGCGACAACGGTGTAGTGTTCAAAGATTTTAAGCCCATCCCTGGGGAGAGGATGCTGAGAATGTCGAACCGGTCGACTGCCTTAGCTGAGATTAGCTCGGGGTGCTGTCATTGGTTCGCTCAAGCTTGATTCGTGCAAGCGGTGGATTCAATGATTCAAATTGATTCAATGATATTCAAGGATGATTTTCACATATTTTCAGAAGCCTTGCCTGCTGCAAGAGATGCGCAATATGATGCAACATATGCATCTCATGAGATGTTCTCATCTGAAGTTCAGCATGTCTTGCTGTGGTGACAAAGGTCATGATGAATCCACGAACGCCAGAATTTGGAGAGGCACGGCTGGCATGGCTAGAATGAAAAAGTGTTGTTGGCCCTCAGACATTGTTCATGTGAGCCTGCAACACTATATCTTGAAAACGAGCAATCGGGCACCTATTGCTTATTATATAATATGTAAACTATGATGTGGAAAGGATCTGCAAGTTTTCTTTATTTCTGAAACGCAGTTGCTGGCAGTTGCCTGTTCTGGAGATATGATGTAAAACTCCGCTGTCACAGCTGGGGGCAGGCACCACGCAGTCCGTGCTCGCGCTCCCCTTCGCCAGTGACGCCTTGTGAGAGGCTCTGATACACGGATAGGGGCATCCAGGTTCAACAGCCACCAGAAAAAAAGCTTAATTTTAGCCCACGCAAAAATTTTCCCGGCAAGAGACCCAAAACAGTGTGGGGGAGTGGGAGGATAATGTATGACAATGTGAATAATGATGATGATGATGAGGAGGAGGAGGAGAATGATGATGATGATGATGATGATGAGGATGAGGATGAGATTGCGGAAGATGAAATGGAGGATGATCAGGTGGAGGATGATGATGTAGAGAAGGAGGAAGATGATGATGTTGAGGAGGATAAATGACGATGATGATGATGATGATGATGAGGATGAGGATGAGGATGAGGATGATGGTGGTGATGATGGTGATCATGATGATGATGATTGTGATGATGATGATGA